ATTTTAATATACAATACATATATAAGTTTTTTCATTTTGAATAGTGGCCGGATAATTTTGATCGCCCTCTGTACATCTTCCTTAAATACACATTTTTTCAAATTTTCACTATGGTCCTAAGGGGGGTGCATTTAGAGAGGTCTCACTATAGTTGAGTTCACAATAGAATTTTGGATAAAAAATTACTTTATGTTCCAATCCTTCAATAATTTCTTATAATAATAGTATGGTTTTTGATTACAAAAATCTTCTTGAGCAGCTAAAACATGACGTTTACAACATCTTGGATCTTCTAATGATATATTATTTTTACTATAAAAGGCTTTTAATCCAAAACCCACAAACCATACTCTTGTAAAATCATTTTCATCCCTTTAGGTTTTCCGTGAAATGCTTCATTAGGATAATCTAAAGGAAATACCATAGATTGAACTTGACCATTAAATATTGTATCACGCATAATTGGTTGCTTATCACCAGGATTAAGATTCATATTTGCTGCATTAAGAATATCATCAGTTATTTTGCATAACTAAAAGAGTTATCAAAAGCAAATACAGCAATCATGCCTGAATGTGTTTTTTCAAAAATTGGTATAGCTTGAATTTTAATCTAATAATTTACAATTAAGTTATATTAGTTTTTTTGAATAATTCAACATGTATTAATTTATTATAATAAAAAAATAACTGATCTATTAATTGGTCAATATTCCACCATCCATCAAAATTTTTTTCAGAATTAATCATAACACAAGTCTCATTTGGAATTGTATCATCAACCTCTTCTTCATCTAATTTAATCTTCCAATTATATCAGTTAAAAAATTACTAATGTGAATAGTTCTTCCTTGACCTTTCTTTCGTAAAGGTTGTTCATTTTTAGGTTTCCAACCTGATTTTTATCCATTATTTGATTGAAAAATTGTTTCATCATTGGTAACAAGAACATGTACTTGTTGTTCACCTTCTAAGTCTGGATCAATCATAATTTCAAGTTCATCACCAGTAAATTTTGGCATTAACTTTTGATAACAATAAAATTATATACATAAAATATAAATATAAAAATATAACATAGTCTAATTTAAATTAAATAAAAGTAAACTTGTTACCAGGATATGATTTCAAGAAATTCTTTATGATAAGTAATGATATCATCTCTTTCATGACCATCAATATACATTCCTTTGGTATATTGACTAAAAATAAATCCCATTTTCTTTAACCATCAGATTGCTGTAGATTTATTATAAAATGTAAATTTTTAATAATATATTTATAAAAGAAAGTAATCTATAAATAAAAATGTTATAAAATAAATACCTGATTTTAGTTTTTTCTTTTATATCAACAGAGGGTAAAATTTTATTGGAAATATAATCACAAAAGTTATGAATTGTTATATCAAATTTTTGTTGTTGTAAATATGATGTTACTTTTAATTGAACATCCTCATCATCAAAAATACTGCTTTCCCTAAGATGTTTTCCATAATTACTTTTAGAAATATCATCATACTCAATAAATGCTTTAGTCCAACTTCTAACATAGCGAGCAAACCATATTTCTCGATTTAGAAGATTCGCAATGGTTTGACTTACTTTTAATTTTGCATGTTCTTTGTTAAGGAGTTATAAATAATGTTGGACAACTTTAAACTGTAGCTTATATCCTGGAGTTAAATGTTTGTTCTCAAGTTTTAGTTTATCTTCAATTATATTAATTAATGCATTAAATTGTGCATTTTTTATGATTTTATCAGTATCATTGGAATTACCATTGGAACCATCATTATTAGAGCCATCATTATTGGAACCATCACTATTAGAATCATTTCCACCAAAAAAAACACCACCAAAATTATTGGAACCATCTCTATCATCTGAAGAATTATCACCAAAATTATCACCAGAAGAATCACCATCAGAATCAACATCGGAACCATCTCCACCACCAGAAGAACCACTACCAAAATTACTGTTGGAAGAACCACCAACATTGTAATTATTTAATAGTTGATAAAGAATTTACCCATTTTTTTCAATTTTGCAATACTTTGACTTTTTGTCAATATTTTGTCATTCGTGAATTTCCTATATTTACTAACGAATGTTTAGAAAGTTTTAGTTCTTTCATATTTTTAGTTAAACCAAAAAAAACTGCTTTGTCTCATTCTCATCAACCCATCCAACTTCATTATCCATGTTAACCTTATTATCTAAGTCTAAAACATCATATGAATCATTTGAATCGGTATTATCATACTTTTTTGCAATTTGAATCTTTCTTTTTTTTGCAATTTCTCAGCATTGTTGGATTCGTCGTTTTAGGCGTCCCATTGGTAAAAAAAAAAGATCAGTTGATCAACGCATGTATACAATCTAAACTATTTATATAAGTGACCTACATTATAAATTTGATATAATTCCAGCCGGAGTTATATGTTTCAAATCTATTTCCACTTAAATAAGTACTTGAACTTTGCCTATTAATAACTATTGATCTAGATATCTAATCAAAATAATTCTAACGTTATTTTATAGCAACAGTTAATGTTTATCGAATTACGTTAAAATATTTTAAATATATACACTAGAAAAATTTTTATTTCATTTTTAAGTTTGATAAATTTATTGGATGGCTTTTTGTGACACAAACTGTACTTATTATAGAAATAATGATCAATTTTTTTAACCAATTAAAAGAAAGTCTAGGCCTCATATAGTAAAGATTTTCTGATCAGACAATTATTATGATAAAACTTATTATTTAATAGGACAAATTAACTATATCACGTAAAAAATATTCATTAAAGTGCTTAGAAAAGGGATTGGCGTCACTAGCTCAGTGGTTAAACCGTGAGTCTCCTATTAAGTTAAAGTTTCATTACACAGCAATAGGCCATCAGTTCAGGTATCAGCCGATACATAAAACTAGATGATTTCTATAAGAATTTCATATGTACTGAATACGATAGGCATATGTATTAACATGCATACAAATCTAGTTGATTGATCTATTGATCAACATTGATCATGTCTAAATACTGCACAGCGTAAGAACAAGTAAATGGAACAAGTAGATGCAAATGAAGCCTGGGATCGACAGAAACTTGGCCTTCGCTGATTGGTCTGTAATGGATACAGTCTTATGTCTCACATGGCAGGGGCTCTTATTTCCATATATGATCATAAGATTGTATATAAATTAAGGAAGTGATTGATCAGAACTTAGTAGATTAGATCAACAGTGATAATAAACTGCATTGTATACCCGCAGCACTGTCTAATCGAGCTGTCACTAGGGTTAGAGGTCAGGTTCGATTCCTGAGTTGTTTGACATTATGGGTATCAAAGTCATCTGGTTGATATAGTCTATATACACAACTGGAGATCACCGTTTAGGCAAATCTTGTGATACTATCCCATAAACCCTGCAGCTCTCTATATAGTAGTGATAAAGCTAAACCAAGTATTTGAGATCTTGGTTATAGTTCACTAGATCTTTTTAAATTTAGTGATGACGTTCACTATGACTGAGATAATCTCTCTATCCAAATTTGACAGTACTTTTGATGCTAAGTACCTAATACGAATCCAACATGTGGTTTGAGTTGCCCAGTTAGAATGTCATACTTAGATGGGAACATTGAAGGGGGTGCGCACAACATGGTGGATAACTTGAAAAATAGAAAAATACCTGAGATTGATTAAGTCTCGCACTTTACCATTAATGATGCCTAGTGTTAACTTGTTGACTAGGTTTAAGAGCAATAGGTTCTCAGTTGGCGTCATTGCACCTTAAAAAAAAAAAAAAAAAGGTAATAAAATTGATTAGCGAAAAAAAAAACTTTTTCTTACGACTTCCCAAATTCTTAAAAAAGATCAATAAAGAAAAATAAAATGCCAGTTACTAGAGCGTACTCTTCCAAACAACAAACAAAAAATAGTTACCAACGCAACAAACGTAATATCCCAGTCAACGACTCTAATACTTAAACTTCTCCACAGATAAAACTAAAACAAACAAAGTCAATATTCCTTCTAAAAAACCTAGAACTCTTATACCTTCGAAAGAAGATTATATTGAACTAGAAATAGAAATATTATTAACAAAGTTATATCTTCAAACAACCAAGATATTCTAACTGAAAAAACAGCTTTCGATGATAGTTCCTCTAGGAACGTGCCACTAGAAATGGATGTTGATACAATTTCTGCCATAAGTCCTTTACAACCTGTTTCTCTAAAACAAAATACGAACGACTCTATGCATGTTAAAAACAACGACAACTACTTGTTCAAAGATACTGGATTTGATTACGAACTCCCAGACGATGATCAATATGACACGATCACCCGTTTCTCTATGATCATCCGTGGTCCATGGCAAATTGCATTCATTGTCTTTGAAAAAGCTGAAACTATCAAATCCTTTTATAATGAATACTGGTCTATCCAGTTTTTAGAAAATGCTCTACAAGTTGAACCAACTGATTTAGACCCTATGCAAATTTCGCTGCGCTAACAATTCAAATTATAACTAATAGGTCTTCCTCTTAATACTAACCAACTGCAACTACAGGACTTTCTTACGCATATCAAAGTCAAATCTTGTTTCATCTCTAGGGATCAACAATATCATCTTCGACCTTACACCTTCATCAACTTTGCTTCTCTTGATGACCTGGACGCTGCGGCGGCGCAGTCACAAAAATTTAAAGGAAGAACACTTTTCTGGATGGAACCGTCTACTAAACATTGTCGTAGCTGTGGTGTCTCTGGACATGACTAATAAAAAACCTGCTAATCCATACAAACTATTATGCGACTGTTTTAAACCAGAACAATACTGACCACTCCGCACTTTCAACAAATACGATTCTAACAATCCTTCATTTGCAAACATCATTAATAACCAAAAAAAACCCATTACTAAGGATCCTCCTAAGACATCACAAAATGTTGTTGATGCTCTTAAATTAGTCCAAGAACAACTAATCTCAATTGACAACAAACTCCTTGCGATTGATGATGAAATCAAAGCCATTAAAACTGAGATTACAGATCATGCAGACGACCTTAATAATATCAGTTTTCGTTTGAACTGTCTAGAATTTATGCACAATATTAAATATGACCAAAACTATGCTCAAGACCCAAATTATGAATTCCCATTCCACGATGATTTTTTGATGCCTATTGACGATCAAACTCCTGAACCACATATTTCACAAATGAATTCACCCATTCAAAACCAAAATATTCCATCCTCATCTCAATCTGACTACCTCCAATGTATTGGTATGGTAGAGTCATCTGTTAATGAATATTAGAGACGAAATGCACAAACTAGTTTCAATTATTTCTCCTATTATTTAAACGTCATTAAATTCTAATCAATAATTGTACAAAATACCAGTAATATTAACGATGTCCAAAAGCATCAACTTAATAAGAATCAATTCACAAACGATAATTTTCAAACACAATGTAATAACCCAAAAATTTTTTCTTTCGTCATATATAACGTTAGAAGCTGCACTTTAGATGTTAAACTTTCACAAATCAAACAATTTTTCACCAATTACAATTTAGATATTTTAGGTTTTTCCGAGACTCACTTTAACAAATCGCAAGCTTTTCATTATTTACGAAATCTTAAATCAAAACCTTATCATTTCTTATTTTCTTCAAATAACCCATCACAAAACTGCCAAGGCGTTGGCTTTATCATTAGAAATTATTTATATGATCATATTTTTTTTTACGAATTTCTTTTTGACAGATTAGCATATATTGATTTTCAGTTTAAAAACAAAACAAAACTAAGAATTTTTCAAGACTATCTCCCTGCGAATCATGGTGATAAAGCACAAATCACCCTTAGAAAACAAATAGAAGCCAAATTGACAGAGCTCATATTAAATGCATAAAGAAAATCCTTTCATATAGTCATAATGGATGATTTTAACGTCGATATATATAACAAATCTAGTAATATAACTAAACAATATAAA